AAGAGTAGAGCCGGTGGGTCCGCGGGAACGTCCCCCTCATTCCGCGGGCTTCTACAGATTGTGTTCCGGGAGACGCTAGACCCTGGAACGCGCGCTATGTAGATTGCAAGGGTGTGGAGGATGCTGACGGTTTCTCCTGGCTCCACGTTTTTCACTTCTTGTTTTGAGTTTTGGGGTTTTGCCTGCACACGAGTCAGAGCTGCGCTGTCATAACCCTGGGTGTGGAGGAGTTTTAGCCTAGGCAGCGGGCAGGGAGCCGCTGTTCGCCTTAGAGGCTGCTAGTGGGACTCGGTCCAGAAATGATTATGCTGGCTAGAAATATGCCTCTCCTTTTTTCGTTTTTTTGGCTGAACACCTTAGCTGTTGGGTTTGTGTGTTAAGTTCTTAAAGGAGCACTCGCACACTGGTACGAGTGCCAGGTTTTCGGGAGTCACTATTTCTGGCTGCATGGATTTTCTCTTCTTTTTCTTCCAGGGTAGTCTGCTTGGGGGTAGATTTCCAGTTGTGGGAATCACACGGTGTGGGTTTTAGAGCCAGATAAATCAGCTCATATTTCAGCACTATAGCTGCTTGACAATCTGTGTCCAATTTATTAGCTGCTCTAAACATGAGTTTTCTCTTCTGTCAAATGGGAGTGATTCCGGCCTAATCTTCCTCTATTGCAGGGTTGTTGTGAGACTTGGATGAGATAACAGAAATGAAAAGTGCTAAGAAAACTAAAGTTTTTAGTTTAAGGGGGTGGGCTTTGTTCCTCATATTTATCTGAGAGAACATGGAATAAATTAGATCACCAGGGTTCCCTTGTCAACATTTATGGTCCTAGGCACAGCAGCAGGGACTTAGTTTGACATCCAAGATTAATAGAGACTCCAGGATGGAGCTCTGACTTTACCTCCAATGGTGACCTTGAACTAAGGACACACTCCCTCATCAGTGAAGTCAGTCTATAAGAATAAAAGCCAATGCTAATAGAAGTCAGGAACAGGTGAATTGTCTGCCACACAGTTAATAAGGGTTTAATTGGGCTCCTCAGTCACCCAGGTAGTATGTCTTCCCCACATATTCCATTACATTTTCCCTATTCATAAGGCTGTGAATCTCAAACATGAGCTTCAGAATCACCTAGAGGGCTTGATAATTGGCTACACAGCCAAAGTTTATGATTATCTGTGTCCAGGGTGGAGGTCCAAAAATTTGCATTCCTAACTATTTCCAGATGAGATTATCACTGCTCTAGGCCATGCCCATAGAGTCACTAATTTAGAGGATCACAAAGAATAGAAGCTGAAACTGAGCTTTCTTCTGAGATACCATTATTTTGCTACCTCATATATAGAGACAAGGTTTTTTGCTAGGGCATTTTAGGAAGTTGCCACTCACCACTGTCTAGTTTTAATCATTCTTATCACCCTTCAAATGAGTGAATTTAAAAAAAAAGATGAAATACCTCCTTTTTCTCATACTATAAAATATTGGGTTGTTGGAAAAGTCATGAAGCATTTTTGCGAAGAAAAATATGCTATGACTTTTCCAGAGACAGAATACTTAGTCCCTGGTTTCTAGATCACTTGGATAGATTAAGATTGGTGACCCTTACATTAATAAATCTAACAAATCCTGTTCCTTTCTTTGGACATCTCAGACATTTCTGGAAAGAAGATTACATGTAGTTCTGACAGTTTGAACCTTATGCTTAGAGGACAGATTAAATCATTTGGGAGCAAGTTTAGAAAGGATTTGCCAGTGGTTTCTCTGAATGGTCTGTACTGTGGTTTAAATGTCTTCCCCCTAATTTATGTGTTGAGAGTTGGTTATGACATGATTAAGAGGGTAAAGGCTAATCAGACTATGGTGTGGAAAGGTGAGGTTTTTAGGAGATCAGGATGAAGGTTACCAGTGTGTGTGTGTGTGGGGGGGGGTGATAGAAGTCTGGTGAGTTTATAAAATGGGGGAACAAGACAGAAACACCTGGACACAGACACATGTGCCTTTGTCCTCTGCCTTGCTATAAGCCAGCCAGCAAGACCCTCACCAGATGTTTGAACCTTATGCTTAGAGGACAGATTAAATCATTTGGGAGCAAGTTTAGAAAGGATTTGCCAGTGGTTTCTCTGAATGGTCTGTACTGTGGTTTAAATGTCTTCCCCCTAATTTATGTGTTGAGAGTTGGTTATGACATGATTAAGAGGGTAAAGGCTAATCAGACTATGGTGTGGAAAGGTGAGGTTTTTAGGAGATCAGGATGAAGGTTACCAGTGTGTGTGTGTGTGTGTGGGGGGGGTGATAGAAGTCTGGTGAGTTTATAAAATGGGGGAACAAGACAGAAACACCTGGACACAGACACATGTGCCTTTGTCCTCTGCCTTGCTATAAGCCAGCCAGCAAGACCCTCACCAGATGTGACTTCTATACCTTGGACCTCAAACTAGAGCTGAATAAAATTTTATTTTTATAAATTGTTCAGTCTCAGGTATTTTCTTTTATTAGCAAAAGAATGGACTAGAACAGACAACTTACCTAGGCCTTAGCAGATGTTCTATGGTGGTCAGACCTGGCCAAGACCTTTCCATTCTTTTTGGAGGATGGTAGTATTGACATTGTCTGAGACCCTCTTTTGCTCTCTAAGAAAGTAGCTTTCAGGGCAGCTGTAGATTATCAGAGTTATACCTTGAGTATTTTAGCTTAGAATGAGGCCCTGTGTGTGAGTGTGTGTGTGTGTGTGTGTGTGTGTGTGTGTGTGTGTGTGTACTTAACTGCCAGAGGACAGTTTCACTTCCCAGAAAGAGACAGAACCAGGAAGGGAGGAAGCACCCCTTTCCCAATGGATATGGTCATGCTGCAATCCCTTATCTCCCATTTCTTCATCTTGTCATGATTTTGCAAAGCATGGTTTCAAGCCACCAGGGCTGGGACTCTAACTGAAGTCTGTCATGTGGGATCCACTTTCCTTAACCACTAGGCTAGAGGGCCAGCCCCAGAATCAAGTCTATTTTAACTCAACCCAGTCTTGAACTCTTCTCTTTGTTCCCCAAGCCCTGGTCCTGTACAGAGAGCTTGCCATGACTTACTATGACCTAGATTGTGGTCTTAAATTTTAGCTGTTTTGCATTAAAGAGCCTTCGGAAGCCTGCTTGAGTCGGGAGGGTTCCTGAGATAACATCCTAAGGAAGAAATAAAATTTATGTAATGTAACACCCAAAACAACTAGATGAGGAGGTCAATAAGCACTCTAACTAGGTCTTGTGTTGCTATGCCAAGTGCAATCCCAACTGATGATCATGCTTTATCTCATCTTTCCATTTGTGTTTTGTTTTAGTGTTAAACTGATTAGCACTAGAGAAACCTATCAGTAAATCAGAAACCTATTCAAAAACTGAAGTATACCACTTAGTGTTTCAGTAGATAAAACTGTAGGTCCCAAACCTGTCTTCCTGACAGTAATCAGCACTCTTGAAGGAACAGCTTTCTGGTTGTAATTCTTAAGATTCAGTAGCTAATTTAAATAGTTTCTCGCACTTAACATAAGTAGGGAACTTTTCTATTTAAAAAATTCCTTCCCATAACTTGATGTTTATATTTTGGGTGTTACCTCTACTATTTGCTGCTGGGATTTTTTTCCAGAGTGAGAGAAATCTCTTTCCATATCGCTGTTGTTCACTTTTCTCAGCACATGACATTCTTGCTTCCTTTAGAGTCTATTGTAAGACAGTCATTATGACATTTTATTTCTCTTCAGTCATCATAGCTGTTATTACTGGATCACAGAGTGTCAAGGCTCATTCTTAGAATACTAGTCTCAACCTTCCTAGAGGGTGCTTTTAAACTAAAACCCTCATACTGCACTAGCTCAATTCTAAGATGCATTTTTTTTTCCTTCCAATTTCAGAAATCCAGATGGGTCTTAAAAATTATGGACACATTTAATGTACAATTTCTCTGTCTTTAACTTGGTGTGTTAATAGAATGTCTATGAACTTATGGCATCCTAAAATAAAGCTAATTTAGATTCTTACTCCAGTAGAAAATACGGTTTCTGCTCACTGCTGTCCAGCTGATAGAATTGAGCAGCAATTGAATTAGCTCAGCAGTTCCCAGAGTATGGTGGAAAAATGCTGTTGGGGTGGATGTTATTAGGTACACTTTGATAAAGGGCAAATCAATTTGGGAAACATTGTTTATTATTTTTCCCTTTTACAGAGATTCTCAACATGTGCATCATATCAAAGACTCTGAGAAGAACTAACAACAAAACTTAGTTATACACATTCAGGTCAATATTTTCCAGAATATAGATCATTTCTCCAGTTATATGTGTATTTTTTAGGACTCCATTACTAAATTAACACATTCCAACAATTCTAATATTTTTAACTCCATCTATGGGTGGGATAATTTCTTCTAGTATATCTCTAAAATATAGAAGCGTTCATTAAATATAGAAGTTAATTGATTAATGAACTAGGACCAGCAGATGGCATAATGCTTATGTTACTGGGACTCCCACATAGTCAACTGTGGTTCAAGTCCCAGATCTGGTGGTTTAAAACTCATGCCAAGTGGACGTGTGTGCATGCCCAAAATTCAGAGAGGAGAATGAGAATGGAGGAGAAGGGATTGTGGCATAGCCATCTACCAGGAGGTGAATTCTCACTTTCTGTCTCTCCTTCTGTCTGACAAGTGCACATGCCCTATAGCAAATCTCTCTCTCAAAAAAAAAAGTTAATTGATTAATGAACTCTGTGATTACTGTTTTTCATTTCAAAATAGATAGAAAATTTTTATTTCAAGATGGCTTATGTATTTCCCAGGGAGAAGGAGAAGAGGGGTAAGGGGAGAGAGAGAGAAGAGGAAAGTTCTCCTCAATGGGGCATGGTTATACTGCAATTCTTCTTCCTCTATTTCTCCATCATGTCAGGATTTGGGACACATATGCACATGCTCAAGAGTTTTTCAAACCACCAGGG